TGGTTGTAGTTGTTGTACTAGTACTAGTACTAGTACTGTACTAGTACTACTAGTACTACTAGTGCTACTACTACTACTACCACTACTACTACTACTACTACTACTACTACTACTACTACTACTACTACTAAGGGTCTCGGCTTGAGCGAGCCTGAGTGTAGGGCCGCCTTGTTTGAACATGGCTTTCTGGCGGTTTCTGCTTACTGCTCTTTGCTACGCAGTAAACTCTGGCCTTTTGACTGAACCGGTCAGTGCCAAGCTGCGCTGGTCCCAATTCCAGCGGTGGGGTCACTATATGCAAGGCCAACATCAAGATCCCGACCTCACAGACCTGAGGGTTCGAGTAGATACCAGAGCTGCTCGTACAGCTATCGGCTCTCCGGTAGTGAAACTTTCTGGACCGAATTCAAGTTGCATACACAGCTGGGCAAGGAAACGCGCTTACAGGCGAGCGAGACAACGTGCGTGCCAGCATGGTGGCACCTGGTATAGGGGAGTATGGCGGGATGCCAGATCCCTTGGGGTTCATGTGGCAGAGCCAGTTTCTACAAAGGACCAGCCTGTACGAAAGGCTCCTTCCCTGCAAGGCAGACGGCCTAGGGTTAAGCTGCTCACGTACAACATAGGAGGCCTGGGGGCAGACGCCTACGATGTTCTGGTATCTTGGCTTAGCACGCAAGAATGTGCGGACATCGTGCTGATACAAGAGACCCATTGGGGTCTAGGCCAGAATTCGGGGCAATGGACCAAAGGTGGGTGGCATTTTATTGCTTCTGCTTCGGGGGACAACCGCTATGGAGGCACCTGCGTTTGCATCTCGGAAAAGATAGCAAGACAGTCTGACATTGATTATCAAGAATGGATACCCGGAAGACTACTACATGTCAGAGTCAACGGTCGTCATTACCCTATTGATGTAGTTTCTATTTATCAGTGGGTCGACAAGACTGGAGACAAGCCTCAGAATGCTCAGAATCGAGCCCGCCTCTGGGATAGCCTGGGACATCTGCTGGACTCGCTCCCTCGCCGAAACGTTCTGGCGATGGGCGGGGACCTGAACTCGGTCTTCAAGCCTCTTGGCGTGCACGTGGGTTATGGAGTACATGCCACCACTCGGAAGCCAGAAGAAGCAATGGAGCTTTTGCTGCAAACACATGATTTCTGTGTTTTGAACACATGGAAGAGCGCCAGAACATCAGCGTGTACCACATTTCATCATGGAGATGCTCGAACCCAAATCGATTTCATGATAACAAGACGATCCATTACTGATCCACAGGCACGGCTCTCTGGCCCGGTCAGCCTGGACCTGACTCCTTGGCGGCAAGGGCCGAAACACTGGCCAGTGCAGGCCAGCATACCTTTGATAGGGCCCTGGGTTCTTCAGACTAAAGAGCATAGGCCAGCCTACTCCTATCCGCTTCGCACTCTTCGTGCCTGTCCTGAAGCTAACCCGGACCACTGGCAATCTTGTTGTCAATCGGTTGAACAGGTCGTGGCTGATCTCCCGGAGCCAATACAGCTGAGCGTGATGAATCAGAGGGTTCTGAGTGTCTGTAGCCGCTTTTTCCCGCCAGATGCGCCCCACAACCGTCGTAAGGCAGTCGAGGACTCACTGCAGGGACCTATTCGAAAAATGTGGGATGCCTATAAGGTTTGGAAGTCTGGTAATGGGAGGCGTCGTGCAAGAGGTAACATCTTCAGCGCGTGGCGTAAATTTGCGGAATTCAAGGCAGCCAGCAGACAGCTGCGCAAGCTTAGTGTGCAAGCACGCAAACGGCGCATCTACTCCATCATAGACAGGGCTGCCTCAGCTGCGGAAGGGTTTCAAATGAATGAAATCTACAATATCACGAGGGCTGTCGCTCCCAGACAGCGTAAGGAGCGTGTTCGCATCCGGTCGGCAGATGGCACCATGCTTGCACCGCAGGGACAGTTCAGGGCCATTGAGAAGTACTTTCGGGATGCTTTTGCCTCGCCCGAACCCTTTCGGTTTAGTACGATTGCCCCGGCCCCTGACCTCTCGGAGGCGCAAATACTTCTGGCCATCGCCAGCCTTAAGCCAAGGAAGGCGGTTCCGCAAAGCAGTGTTCCATCTGAAGTGTGTCGAGCTTGTGCAGCTCCCTTTGCCAAATGCCTGACCAGGGCTTATGCTGAAAGCACGGTCACGCTGCCGTCAGCCCTACCCAAGGAGGTCACAAATTGCTGCTTAGCCTTGATCCCTAAACCTGGTAAGGCCACTCGCCTCCCTAAGGACCTTAGGCCCATTGGTATCCAAGACCCGGCCTCGAAGATAATAGCAAAGGCAGCCAAAGACCTCCTTGCACCGCAGGTCAAGCCAGTGCTTTCAAGTACCCCGCAGTACGCTTACTGCGAAGGCAAAGGCATCGACGAAGCCATCTTTAGAGTCATAGGCCATTGCACCAGGGTCAGGCAACGTCTTCAGGAAGGGGCTTTAAGCGTTCATGCTAGGCGGGCCGGTCGTTCATCCAGTAATTGCTATGGAGGGATAATGGTAGGGACAGACATGAGTCGAGCCTTTGACAATCTCACAAGAGATGTCCTCCTCCGCTCTTTGCGGCATGCTGGCGTTGACGAATCCCTGCAACGGCTTCTGCTGGAGATCCACATGGCCTGTCAATATGAAATCCAGCACCACCGCTATCGCACCCACTTTGCTGTGGAAAAGGGAGTAAGACAGGGCTGCGCAGTATCCCCCCTGCTGTATAGCTTGTTCACAGCTTGGCTGCTAGCAGAGCTTAAAGTCCGTACCAATGACAGCTGGATTGAACGCTTGGTCACGTGCTTCGCAGATGACACCCACCTTGCGTGGGAAGTCGAATCAGTTGCCGACTTGGGCTTCGTCTGCCGAACCCTACGGATCACATTCCAGCTTCTCCGTGAATGTAACATGGTTGTGAACTCCGATAAATCGTCGGTAGTACTGGGTCTTCGTGGTCGGGCCGCAAGGCGATGGATTCGCTCGCACACAGTTGCCAGATCCGGCAAGAAGTGTCTTGACTTTGGTGTGCCCGGTGAGCCGCTGTGCATTCCTATAGTGGATCACTTTGTTTACGTGGGGATAATAGTCTCCTATAAACAATTTGAAGCGCAAACCTTACAGCATCGCATCCAGGCGGCGTCGGCGAATCGGGCACGACTCAACAAAATCCTGCACAGTCGTCAACTTGCTGTGAAACGTAGGGCCAGCCTTTATCTTTCCTGTGTGAGAAGTACCCTTCTACACGGGCTTGCTGCAGTGGGCGTGACAGATGGTGTCATTCGCAAGCTAGAGGCTGTAGACTCTAGACTCTCTAGACACCTTCGCTCCATAGCTAGGTCGCCTGTTCATCTGACACATGAATCCAATGCCTCTTTGAGTGATCGACTTAAGCTTCGGAGCCCTTCGCAGGATCTTGTTCGGATGCTGGCAAGACGTGCACGAGTGTGTGGCGATGTCGCTTTTTCTGCTTCCTTGCAACGGCACATGCACTGGTTATCTACCCGAGTTGATACATCTGACTCGCCGGAAGCAGTGCCAGACGATTGCCCGTTGAAGCCATGTGGCTATGACAAGACGGTTGCTTGTACGGTTTGTGGGGTCTATTTTGGCAGCATGCGCCTCATGAAGACTCACCGAACTAAGCAGCATGGACCACAGCCCAAGCCAGCTAAGCTTACATCCAAGGAGTACAGCAAACATGCAAAGGATGGTATGCCCCACTGCCGTCACTGTGATCGCATTTTCAGCAGAGTGGAGGCCCTCAAAAAGCACCTCCGAGGCTCGTGTCCTGTGCTGCATGGGGGTCGGAAGGCTTCTAGTAAGCAGGCTTTGGATACGACGACAGGACCTCTGGCGTGCGGAGCTGCAGGTCCGGAAAGGCCGCTTAGGCATACGTGCCGGGCCCCTCCCGATCCTTCCGACCCACACGCAGAAACTAGTGCTCCTCCGGGAGAAGCCGAAGATGTCCCCTTTAGAGCCCAGCTCGGCACGGGATGGAGACAGGTGCTGCGAGACGTTGCTTTCCTGCGACAATTGCGGTCGCACTGTGTCTTTTGTAATCAATGGGTCTCACTTAAAGGCCCTGGATTCAAGCAGCGCTGTCGCCTCACGCATCCTGACAGTTGGAAGCTGAAAGATGATGCCAACAGCCTTTGCTCCTCAGCGGGAGGGCTAGCTTCCACTCCGTGTGCCTACTGTCAAGGGACCTTTCAGGACCCCCGCGCACACATCAAGCGCTGCCCAGTCGCTTTTCAAGCTGCCGTTGCCTCATTGCAACTTGCACAGGACGCCAATGGCATTGGAGGAGGGAGACCTGACCAGGACCGTGGCGCTGCAGGAGATGGCCGAGGTGTGGGGCAGCACCAATCCCATGGCGAAGGCCAAGGAGTCCGAGAACTCCAAGAGGCCCTCGCCTCTACAGGAGGAAGCCGAGCCCTCGGAGCGCCGAGAAAAGTGGAACAAGCCGGCATACGGTCGCCCAGGCAAAGGTCAATCATGGGGTGGATGGAACAAGTGGGACAGCCAGGGCTCGCAGGCCGAAGCGGGCACCATGGACCAGGCCACCCTTCACCTGCTGCGAACCCTGGTCAAGACAACGATGAGGCTGGACGAAGATGTCAGCAGACTCCGGGCAGACTGCAATTTTATGCTCTTCATCGACACGGTGACGGAGACGAACACCCTTCAGAAGCTGCGAGCCGTGGCACAGCAGTGGCAAGACTCCTTCACTGCAGGCAAAGTGACGACCTCGTTGAGGGTCGTACTCTTTTTGCGGGCTCCTGAGGACCCTGAAGGAGGCAGTGGAGTCGGTGCAGCAAGACGATGCGATCAAGGATCGTCTTCTACGAGTCGGGTGGATCGAAGATGGCATCAACGCCCTTCTCCCAGCTTGGCATTATTACCGTTGGGATCCACAAGCACAACGCCAGGTGGTTTCGGAGAGGCCACCACTCCCGTAGGACCGGCTGCTTCGTTGCCTGGACACCCTGGAGAAAGGCTGCTGCGTGCCCAACACCCTCCTCCGCTTCAGGTCCACTCACAAGCCGGGGCAGGAGACTCAGGCGGACGTACTTCCGTTCATGTTGTCGATCAGCCTTCGCGGCTCGGTGGCGACGGAGTGCCACGAAGCACTATGCACCGTGGCGTACAGCGGCGCCTTGAAGGTGCTTGGGCTGCGGCTGCGCACCGAAAGGGCGCAACAGTCACAGATGGCCCGCGAACTGGGCGAAGCATATTTGAGTGTTCCACTCACAGACTGGAGTCGTCGCCGGGCACAATGGACTCCGGCTCAGCAACAGCCGAAGCCACCCGCGAGCTCCATGGAGACCTGAGGCCAGCACATGGGAGGGAGAGTTCAGTTCATCTTCAGATTCCGATTTGTGCTGCGCCGCCCGTGGCCTTGCCTTCCAAGCTGCAAAACCCGCGTGCAGTTTGCTATCTTAATGCTTGTGCCCAGGCCCTTGCATGGCTTGGCCACCTGACATCGGCACAGCCTGCCTGTTACACTGTTACGGCACCCTGCAGGCCGCCCTTCGCCTTGTCAGTAAGAAAGGGAGGCACTATCTCCCCAGTTGCCTTCCGTGGGGTCCGGTTCTTAGCGGTTGGCCGTCGTTTAATACTCAACATGACGCTGGCGAATTCATGCAGCATCTGCTTGCTCGTGCAAAACCCACGGCCTTCTGTGGAGTGTGGCAGTCTAGATACTCCAATCCCATCACCTTGGAGGACTCTGGCGAACTGGGTGCCCCGATTTTGATGGACATGCGAGGCGGGAGCCTGCAAAGCATTGTTGACAGCTGGTCGGCGCAGCGTGCCACACATGCCTTGACCCACCATTCGGGCGTTGTGATAGTACAGCTTAAGCGCTACACACATGAAGGGAGGCATGTCTCTAAAGACCTATCTCCAGTCTTCATTCGGCCAGGTGAGAGCATCGCACTTCCACTGTTTGCCGCTTCTGACAGCCTGGATTTGCAGCACCAGAGTTTTCGAGTTGCTTTTGTTATATATCATCATGGCAGCACTCCTCATTCGGGTCACTACAAGGCTGCACTTTGTACTGCTGCTGCGTCCGGGCTAGACGAAGAGTGGTCGTTCTACATCTGTAACGATGGTGTTGTGCCCAAACGTGCCGCCCCGGCGGATTTGCGAGACATTTTGCACAATGCTTATCTAGTGGGTTTGATTAGGGGGGAGGCCTCCCCGAGCCAATAGTGCTCTTGTTCCGTTGCATGCTGTATGTGCTGCCGAAGAGTAGCATGACCGGGAGCTTTCGGCCTCAGCCGTCCAAAACACTTCCGTGAATTCGTCGCCGAAGTTTTCATTGTTTGTCATTACAAGCTGCCACTGCGCAGCAGCTCTCCTTCTCCATTCGTGATTGTCAGCCGTGTTAAATCAAGAGGGGCGTGCGGAGCCCCATCTGACTGGGACCGCTTGGGCATACGTGCCGGGTCCCAACCTGCCCGAACCTCAGGCTGCCTACAGGTGCACTCATACGACACACCAACTGATGTGTTTGCAATGCTGGTCCGTTGTTGGCTCCAGTCCTATCCCTCTTTTCTTGCTGGGCACAGTGTACCTCCCATGCAGGTGGAGCTCCCTAGGCGAATGTATCTGTGTGCACTGGAGGAAACCCTTCTGCTGAACGCATACCGATCCCTCTGCGGGCAATACGATGGCCCTAAGTGCCCGCCGGCCATCACTATGGCCACACGCCTGGATCTTTTTCAGCTTGCTCACGACAACTTGGATGACGTCGCCCTCTCTCTCTTCGTTGAGTACTCTGAGGAGCTGGGGAAGCACCTGCGCGGCAGTATGGTGATGGACCTGCCTTCGCCACTCTGTTTGCCTGCCGAGACAGCTAAGCTGGCGGAAGTTGCAGCCCATGCCCTGCTTAGCCGGGGATGCGGCTCTGTTTGGGCCTCGGTTCGAACAGTGGTCAGCCTCCTGGACTTTGAGCAAGACACCCGCAGCTTTTCAAGTGGACAGGTCTTCACCCTTGGTCTGATGGCCAAAAAAGGGGTACAGGACTTTACGAGGAACACTTCCTCGCATGTCAATGTCTGTCGCCTACTCAACCGCCTGGTTCGACTGACGAGCCCCTCCTTTCAGTGGACGAGTCTGACTTTGACCTTGGATAACATGTGTGAACCCCATGTTGATCGAGGCAATTGGCACAGTGATAGCCTCCTGATTGGACTCAGTCATCATGAAGCTGGAGGGTTGTGGATAGCCAGTGAAGACGGCCATGATTTTGTTGAATGCGCAGATACGACTTATGCGGGGACGGTGCATCCCGCCAGTGCACGCGGCATTGCCTTTACAGGTCGGTCCACGATGCACAAAACATGTGCTTGGACCGGCGGCCATAGGGTTGTGTTAATAGCGTACACGGTGAATGGATCAACCGGCTGTAACCGGCTTGCCTGCTGAGATCTCGCGCCGAGCGGCGGAGCTTGGCTTTGTAATTCCATTCTGAGCTCCTAGGTTCCCCTCTCCCCCCTTTCTGGTTCTAGGTCACTTTCCCGTCATTGTGTCTGAACTTAGATGGTCTGCTCCGCCACGCATGGCCTTGGGGGAACAAGGTCTCTGCCCACATGGGGCACCGGGGCTGCTTGCGGCAACAACACTACGCAGTGTGAAATGCTGCAGCAGTTGCACAAATCATGCTCCTGTTGCTGAAACACATGTGAAGCGCTGAGGCCTCATGACCACCTCGGCCGCTGGAGGACTTACCCACTGCCTCACAAGGGGTTGCCGGGTTACCTTTGTGAACAATGGCCATCGGCATTGCTGTCCGGACTGTCGTCATACAAGAGGTGCCCACCATACGAGGCGATGTCGAGATGGCCAACGTCGTGATCGGCTCTCGCTTCTTGAGAACTCGACTGAATATGGCACTCGTTTCTTTCCCTGCTGTACGGTTGGGTGCGCTAGGGTTACTAATGGGATGCATGTTTACTGCTGCTCTCTCTGCGCGGACTCATCTGGCGCGCAGCATTCTTTCCGATGCCAAAATCGGGGGCCACCACTGCAGCGCCAGACCTGGCCTGCGTCCAATCCGACTTCATGGCCGGGAGGAGCTGTGGGAGCTGGAGGTATGGCTATGGGCTCGGCTATGCCTTCTTCCACTGCACAAGCTACGGTCTTTGGCCACACCCACGCTTCGGCTACGGGCTCTGGATGCATGGAGAATACGTCGAATGTAGCAGACAGCGACTTAGTGACACGGAAGCGTCAGTACGCGGAATGCTCAGCCAGTTCCACAGCTCTCCAGTCGTCCAGCTTTGCCTCGCATAGCTCTCCCATGGATGTGATCTCGGATGCAAGTGTACATAGCAGTTCCGAACGAGCAGTCGACTTCAATCTGAACGAGATGGATTAGGAGGCTTTTTCCTGGCGGCCACTTCAGTATTATCAGTATAGATTTGTTCTGAGGAGCCATAAATATGGTGCGAACTCGATTCGCCGGGCTGTATGCCTGTCCCCGCATCGTATCGACCTGGACGATATGGCGAGTGTGAGTGAGTGAGTACTACTACTACTACTACTACTACTACTACTACTACTACTACTACTACTGCTCCTACTCCTACTCCTACTACTTCTCTACTACTACTACTACTACTACTACTACTACTATGA